CACTTGACTGCTAACCAGAAGGCTGGTGGTTCAAACCCACCAGCCACTCCTTGGAAGGAAGGTTGGGCAATCTACTTCCGTAGTGATACCACCTCTGAAACTTGCTGAGTTGGGTCCGACTTGATGGCACATTAACAACAACATAACATCAAATGAGGAGCCCTGGTAGTTCAGTGGTTAAGCACTAGGCTGCTAACCTAAAGGTCAGCAATGTGAACCCACCTTCCGCTCCACCGGAGAAAGATGAGGCAGTCTACTTTCGTATATATTTACAGCCTTGGAATCCCTACGGGGCAGTTCTACTGTGTTCTAGTAGGGTCACTATTGCTGGGCTTGGCTTTGATTCTTTCCTTCAGATGTACCACTTTCTCTCAGCTCCGCTTTTCAGTGCCTTCCCTTGCCTTGCAAATCTCCCTCTGGTGGCATTTTCTTAGAACTGCAGATCCTCAGAAGCCAACTGAGTGCCAGTAACATATGTAACAATTTTCCTTTCTGGGCACTTACCAAAAAAACAAACCAAACTCATTGCCTTATAGTCGTATCCGAATCATAGCGACCCCTCCTCCTTGAGTTTCCGAGGTGGTATCACTACGGAAGTAGATTGCCCAACCTTCTTTCTTAGGAGTGGCTGGTGAGTTTGAATCGCCAGCCTTATGGTTGGCAGTCAAATTTGCTTGTAAGTTACTAGAAGCAAATCTTTTAATAACTATTGGGATAACAAAAACTCCATAGTTTTCTTTCCAACCAAAACTAATAGTGAGGGTCCACAATAGCTAAGGCTTTTGTTAGTACTTTTCCATCTTCTGGGTAAGTGCTAAGTATATTATAAGCATTGTTTCTTGCACTATCTCAAGGAGCAGTCATTATTTTCCATCATTTTACAGAAGAGAAAACAGGCTTACAGGGTGTGTCGATTAGGGTACTTTGATTCTGAGCAACACGCTGTTTGATTCCAAGCAGCACACAATGTTGACTCCAACTTAGATAAGGAAAGAGAAAATCATGAAGAATGGGAAAATGGAAAATACTTGTGACTCGTAGTATTGAGGGAGCTTTGGTGGCATAGTGTGTAAGGCATTTGATTGCTAACCAGAAGGCTGGCAGTTTAAACCCACCAGCCACTCCTCAGAAGGAAGGTTGAGCAATGTACTTCCGTAGTGATACCGCCTCAGAAACGCAAGGAGGGGTCACTATGAGTCGAATTGACTCGACAGCAGTGAGTCTAGTTTTGGTGGGGTTTTTTTTTCCCCCATAGTATTGAAGGGATAACTGAACAACTTCAGGAAGAACAGAAACCAACGTGGTTCTGAGGATCTCAATGGGAAAAACACATGGATTTTATTTCTAAGGCAGAGTTTTCCAGAGTCTGGTCTTCTTATTTAAAATGCCCATTCCTTGTGCCCAGATTTCAGACTGGCTGAATCATAATCTCTGGGAGTAGGACCCCAGAATTCTAATAGGTTTCTCAAGTGATTCTTATGTTCACTGAAGTTAAAGAACCACCCTGGACACTGTCATAGGATGACTCAGGGCTTTTGGTTGTCTCCATAGTCTGCTCAATTAAAAAACTTTGAGGAGCAGAAGTGTAACTGGTTGGGACTGGATGAACTACCGACTTGTTTGATTGAGGTTGGGATATATGTTAGCTTGACTGACAGCTCTGTGAGAATCACATTGATAAGGGGCAAGACAGCAGCCCAAAAATGGCAATGTTACCATAAACAAAACAAGATATGTACTCTAAGAAGGCTCCAGAAGGAGGCAATAAGAAAGGAAAACATATATTATATCCAAAAATACTTGGCAAAGAAGAAAAAAAAAAGTTTATTATGTTAAAGTCTATTAAATGATGTGACCAGTTATCAATTGTGACTCCAGGTTGAGGAGGTGGAATTGCTCTTTGATGAGCCAAGTGGAAGATGGATATACAGGCGATTGCCAAGACCAAAATTACAATAAGATACATTCTGCTTATTAGAGAAACAATGAGAAAAAGAAAGTAAATATCTTCAGAGGTCATCTCCATTTTACACATGGAAAACAGGGTCTAAGATAAGGGAAGGGACTTACTTGATGTCCTCCAAGATTACAAGATCAATGTTCCTTCATCCACACTCCATAGCCCTTCTGGGTTCTTGCCCACATTCCTAACTAGTTTCCTCTTGCAATATGCCAATGAGTAAATAATATAGTCTAGTTAAAAGGTGCTCATTCTCTTCAAAAATTTTAGTGTTCTCTTTATTGTTAATAATGCCATTTTGTTATTGTTTGTAGTGTTTGATGAATACAAAAGATTATCACAGAAGGATATCGAACAGAGTATTAAATCTGAAACATCTGGTAGCTTTGAAGATGCTTTGCTGGCTATTGGTAAGCTGGCAGGGGGTGGGAAGTGGGAAAACAAATGTCTAGAGACTTTCTTTATGTTATCAGTTTTGGTTAAGGGGAAATAGTTTTTTTTTTTTTTTCAGGGATAAAAATTGTTTGAATCACTCATGATATACTCCACAATTTTAAACCAGAAATACTGTATATAACCTGATTGCTACAGTATTATTTGGCTTTATATATTGTCTATCCTCTGCACCTTTATGTTTCAGTGTATAGGAAAGATAATTCTATGATAACTATATCCTGCAAGTCTGTAAATGGTTAGAACTAAGAACTGTCTCAAATGGTAGAGATAGTGATCCTCATTTTGAAACTACATGCTGTCCTTTACTTGATGGCCTTTATTAATTACTTTTCCAGGAACTTCATGATAAATTGAAGGTACTTTCTGTCTGTGAAAGTATCTTCAGCATAGCCTATATTCATGAAACAGTTTGGCTAAAATTTCTCCAGCAAAGTAATCAAGAGGTATTACTTGGTACCTGATAGAAACCTAGAGAACAACTATCACTAGGTTTTATCTGTAATCTTGTCTTTTTTCTCTTGACAGTAAAATGCATGAGGAATAAGCCTGCATATTTTGCTGAAAGGCTTTATAAATCAATGAAGGTAAATAGTCTTACTTTTAGTATCTGTATGACTGTGGCATGCTGTGTCCATCTTCAATTGTGTACTTACTATACTCTATCTTCCAACTTTAGCTTGAGTTCAGTTCAATTCATTAAATACTCACTGAATGCCTGCAATAATAATATTAGGCAATATTTATTGAGTACTTATGGGATGCAGGCCACTGTTTTTAATGCTTCTTATGTAGAGATTAATTTTATGCCCACAACAGCCTTTTGGGGCAGATACTATTATTATCTCCCATTTTACAGATGAGGAAACTGAGGCATAAAAAGAATATGTAATTTTTCCAAGGTCCTCAGAGAGGAAGTAATATAGCAGGGATTCAAACCCTGGCAATCTAGCTCCAGAGTCCAAACGCACTGCCATCAAGTCAGATCCAACTCATAGCAACCCTTCCTTGGGTTTCTGAGGCAGTATCACTACGGAAGTAGATTGCCCAACCTTCCTTCCAAGGAGTGGCTGGTGGGTTTGAACCACCAGCCTTCTGGTTAGCAGTCAAGTGCCTTAGGTACTATGCTACCAGAGCTCCTGCAGAGTCCGTATTCCTAACCAAACATTGTACTCTCTGCTGGGAACCATGGGAGGTATAGAAAAGATCTCTGACCTCAGAAAACTTCTAGCCTTGTAGGGAAGCAGGTATATGCAGAACACCACTAGTAACAAAATAGAATGTAAGACAGTAAATAGTTAAAGATCCAAATATTATAGGAACACAGTGGAGAGGGCTTTTTTTTTTTTTTTTTTTGAGAGGAAGAGAAGAAATAAGATGGAGGAGATAGGGAAGGAAAACAAACTTCTCCTAATTGTGCTTTAGGTGGAAATTTACAGAGCAGAATTTGTTTTACATTCAGCAGTTCATGTATGGAGAGGGCTTTTTGTCCCCAGAATATATATTTTTTTTTTCATGGGGAGAATCAGAAAAGACATATTAAGAGGTTGGCATGTATGAAAACAACATAATCAGAACACAATTAAAGAGAATGTTGACACATGATGAAAAATGTAACTAATGTTACTGAATAATTTGTGCAGAAATTGTCAAATGGGAACCTAATTTGCTATGTAAACTTTCACCAAAAACACAATAAAATATTATTAAAAGAAAAAGAGGTTGGTATATTTGAGCAGGCCTTTAAAGAAATTTTTACATTGGAGAATTTTACATGATGGGAATGGAAAGGCTGAGAAGGTTGAGAAGGAAGGCATTCCAGGGAGAGGCATCACTGGAAATTACTGTGAGTGAGGCAGGCAGTCTGCATAGAAGAGACTGTTTCTAGAATGACAGAGAGCAGTCCCCTTTGTTCAGAACATACTTGTAGAGAGCCTTGGATACCACGTTCCACAGGCTCGGAGGTTATGGAGTAGACAAAGAACATTGCCAGGAAAACCCATTGACATTAAGTCGATTCTTACTCATAGTGACCTCCAGTGGGTTTCTGAGGCTGTACATCTTTATGGAAGTAGATTGCCCAGTCTTGCTTCCATGGAGTGGCTGGTGGGTTTGAACCACCAACCTTCTGGTTAGCAGTCAGATGCCTTAGGCACTGTGCTACCAGAGCTCCATATATATATATATATATATAGAGAGAGAGAGAGAGAGAGAGAGAGGAGAGAGAGAGCTCTCTATCTATCATCTATATATCATTTTATGGGTTGCATATTACTTGTTTAAAACTTACATTAAAAGCAACTTACATATAATATTTGCTATTTCTAATAATAATAGAAAAATATAAAAGAAAAGTTTTTCAGTTAAATAGGGTTACCTACACAAATAAATACATGTAAAGTAAATGGTTTGTGTAGGTTATCTCAACTTCCATGAAAGTCAGAAATCTGGAGATGTTATCAGTATTAGGTCAATTTGCTGAAATAACCCATAAAATTAAAATCCTAAGGCCTTTATTCGGAAGGAAGATGGGGCAATCTACTTCCTTAGTGATATGCCTTGGAAACCCAAGGAGGGGCCGCTATGAGTCCAAGGACACATAACAACAACAACAACAAGCCTTTACACCAAGGAAACAAGTTCCACTAAGTTTTTGTTTATATATAAACAATATCAGTAACTGTTTTCATGTGCTTTCACTGTAAAGGCATTCTGCAAAACTTCAGATTTTGTATTAAAAGATGTAGCAAATTTCTTCTATTAATGTACAAAACTGTTCCTTGGGAAATCTTTTTTTTTTTTTTTAAATTATAGCTCTAGTTCCAGACACTTCTCTAGGTTATGGTATTTATAACTTTGTTAAGTCTATCAATAGAAACTTCATGGAGTTACATTATCTAAACTCATTTAAAAATCTAATGATTATATTATTACTTTTAATGCAAGAACTAGCTATTTCAGTAGCTAACAGCACTGTGTTGATTATGAATTGTCTCATTTCCTTTAAGGTTTCTTTTCTGGTTCTTAATTTTAGATTACTCTCATATTTCTTATTTTTCCTATTGGTTATTGATTATGTATAAACACTTTGGAATAGTGTAATAAGAACCAGACAAAATCAGCAGGTGAAAGTAACAAATCCATTAGAGAATTTAGGGGAAAGGAGGAAATAATGATTTCTTATACCCCAAAAACAGAATATCAAAACATAAGTAATATTTCTAGATAGTTCTTATCGTCCTGTGTGGTTAAATTTTATTTCCTGGGATCTTGGTTCAGCTGCAATACAGCCTGTGAACTCATCATCTTTTACACCAGAGTTCTGGAAATCTGGATTCAATCTAGTAAAATGCAGGCTCAAAATATCACAGTCCTTTCCCATAAGTTTACTATGGTTCATTTTTCTGTTGGAATGTTTTGGTCAAGTGTTTCAGAAAGTCAACAAAGCAACACTTCTCTGTAGGTGACAAAACAATATAAACCAAACTCATTGCCATGGAGTCAGATCCGACTCATAGTGACCCTTCCTTGGGTTTCCAAGGTGGTATCAGTATGGAAGTAGATCGCCCAATCTTCTTTTCAAAGAGTGGCTGGTGGGTTTGACTGCCATCGTCTATTAAAAGTGAGAAACCTGATGGGAAATCAATTATAGAACCAACATAAAGCCAAATAAGTCCATTTAAAATCAAAAGGAAAGTTAGACAAGAGTATCTCCAAATATGATTAATGTTATTTTCAAAGAGTTTTAAATATAGCACATAATTATCTTGAGACATAATATTACATATTAAAACTATAAAGTCTCTAAACATCTGAATTAAACTCTACAGGTAAGTAGAGTAGTTCTCCTAGTTAAACTCAATAGTTTCTTTAATGCTGCTCTTAAAAGAAAAGGTTGCAACCAAGTTAACAAATAACTAAAATTTTCACATGATATTATGTATTTGCTGTCTAATATTAGGCAAAAACACAAGAGGAAACACTGAAACAAATTTTCAACCCAAAGAGAATTAGTCAAATTTTTTTTAAAAAACATACTCAGGTAATCTATAATCTACCAAATAAAACTATAGCACTCCTTTTTTTTTTTTTTTAAATCTCTTGTGGCTTTTCGTGAAGTTTGTCATAGTTAATTATAGGCTACTAAGAGATAATGTTTATTTAACTAAAGTCTTACCTTGATAGATTAAAGAAAAGCACCATCTGAAAGCTTTCATATGTTAGGACCTTGTTTTCTTCTTTAGGGCTTGGGCACTGATGATGACACCCTCATCAGAGTGATGGTTTCTCGAGCAGAGATTGATATGCTGGACATTCGGGCCAATTTCAAGAGGCTCTATGGAAAGTCTTTGTACTCCTTCATCAAGGTAAGTTGCAGGAGCCTTGCCTTAGCCCAGGGGAAGCACTGATGAAAGGACAGGCTTCTTACCTAGGCATTTAGAGACTTCTTGTCCCTTCCTTCTTGTCATATATCATTCCCTTTAAAGATGATATTCTAATTCAGATAGTTCTAGTTCTCCTTTCACACAGATATTTAAACCTTTACAAAATTAGAAGCTAGAAATATTTGCCTTCTAAATACAGTATTACTACATGTTGACCAAAGACAGATTCCATTTTAATGAATGCTTTTGAGAACACAATTTCCTTATCTACCTGATAACAGTGAAAGATGAAATAACTGAATCAGTCTGAATCAGAACCCTTTCAGGGCCCTCCCAGTTGGCTGGGAATATGTGAGAGCGTTGTAGGTATCCTAGCTGCTATTTTTAACCTAGCACCATACTTCTATACATCTCACATAGCTACTATAGGAATTTCTATGTCTAGGAATTTCTTTAGAGAAAGTAATAAAACTACACTAAAGCTTATGACAGCCACTCTGGTGGTGTAGTGTTTAGGGCATTGGGTTGCTAACCAGAAGGTTGGCAGATCGAACCCAGCAGCCGCTCCACAGAAGAAAGATGAAGCAGTCTGCTTCCATAAAGATTTACATCCTTGGAAACCCAGTAGGGATCGCCA